ATTGTTCTCTTTATTTTTTTTTTAAATTTGCGTTTTTTTCATATATTTTTTATTTATTATTTTTTCGAATTTTTTCTTAACGTCTATGTGAAGGTCTGAAGCCTAATTAGATATTTCTTAATCTGTTCTTCAAAACAAATTTATTTTAATTTTCTTTTGTTTAACGACGTTTTGCAGATTTTAATTGCATACAATTAAAATTGTAAAGTCTGCATATTTCTTGTGGATTGAGATTTTATTTGTGGCTTAACATAAGGGATACTTTCTTCCTAAAACACACTTGTTGTGCATAATTCATGGTTGAATAATATTAAGGGATATTATTGATCACTAATATGATTTGTATGTGGGATTGACTTTTGTTTTTGAAATATTAAAATTATAATTAATAATTTTTTTTATCGTGTTTGCAGGAGCAGATGGAAGATGTTGGACATTTATTTATTGTTTGTGATTTTGTTCATGTTGTAAATGTGTTATATTTTTTTTTAAGTTTATCATTTTATTTTAGCATGATTTATAACTAAACTGAACAACAAAATAATGGTTTCAAATTTGTGTGGGCAAATTTAAGATTTTGAATAAAAAAATTATTGGTAATTGTGTCATTATTAATTACTTATATTATGTAAAAAAAGGGGAAAACATTCAACATGTAACGGCTACATGATTAAAAAAATCAAATGAGATTTCTTGACTATTTTAACACATTCAACATTAACTAAAATTGATCTGTTTATGCAAAAAAAAAAAAAAAAAAANNNAAAAAAAAAAAAAAAAAAAATTGTAAACAGTAACGTATTTAGGCGGGAAAACAATAGAAATGCTGACTGGGTATAATTTAATAGGTTTAATTTAATGCTCATATGCTAGCAATTATATATATATAGATTTCAATATACCAACTATCAGCTAACCACACCACCCTTTAAAATTAACCAAACCAAACCAAACCAAAAAATACAAACAAATCCAAAATTTTTTATATCCAAGCATATCATTTTAAAATCGATTATAATTTATTAGTTAAATAATATTCACTAATATTTCAATATCTTTTTATACAAAAAAAAAAAAACTGACATTGACTGTTAAATAGAACCCCAAAATCAGAATGAACTGGTGTCGCTGGAACTTAAAAAGAAGTCTAAAATTGATCTATTTATAATATGATAATTATACGACAGTTGGACAAATGAGTTGTTAGTTTATCATTTTAATATCGATTATATTTGATTAGCTAAATAAAATTCACTAAAATTTTTATAGTTTTTTATGTTGTTTAAAAGAACCTTAAACATGTATGTTTAAAATATTAAAAACACTAAATTGTTATACAACATGTGTACGATTATCTAAAATATTCTATATTTATTCCTAAAAAATGTGAGGTCACCTTTCTAAATTATTTTATAAGTAAAACATGTCTTAAAAAAATTCAACACCCATACATATATACACAACATGTTTAAAATATACAAAATACTAAATGTGAATATTATGTACTAAAGTCTAAAAAATGTTAATAATTATATCTACAAAAATATGTATGAATAATACAAAACATTAAATATTACATCACGCAAATTTTATGAGAGATATTATATATAGTAGATATAAAATATAAAAACATTAGTGGTTAGTCATTACTTCACGCTAAGATTTTCAAGCCGAATAATTTTTAATTGGATGTGTGAGAACTTTTTATTTATATTTTCAATCTGAACAGCTTTTAGTTGGATAACTTTCCTATTATATGTGTGACAATTTTTTATATATTAAATTTATATATATATATATATAGATATAGATTGTGCTTATATAGATTTATATTTTGTGTATACGAAAATAAAAAATCGATTTACTATACAAAATTTTAAAAATTTTATTTTTAAAAATAATTGACAAAAAGATTACCAATTAAGGGAATTGGTTTATATCTCAAAAAAAAAAAAAAAGATTTATATAT